AGGCTCGAAAAAAATGGAAAAATAATTCACCTAACCTACTTCAACCTGGAACGATGGTAATCGTTAAAGAAGATGACTTGCCCCCACAAAAATGGTTAACCGGTCGTATTTCCGAAGTGTTCCCTGGTGTTGATGGTGTTATTCGAACTGCTACCGTAAAGACTTTGAATGGAAGTTATCAACGCCCAGTGACAAAACTTTGTGTTCTACCAATTATTTAAAGTCCACTAGACTTTCAATGGAGGCGGCTATGTTGCGTCCCGCCATATATTCAAACTTTCTTTTGAACCTTGAACGACGCTGTGTTAATCCTATGCGCGGGTGCTGCTGGTTCCATGACCGAGGAGGCGTGCGCCGACCCATTTTTTATGACAAGTGACATCAACAGACTCGACAAGAAGCAACCCAACCTTACCTTTAGATTTGTTATTTTAATATTCGTAAAATAAAGATTTTAAAACAAGAATTTTCCTTCTGATTATCGCAGAAGAACGTATATTTGTTATAATCAAAAATACGATAACATTTATCAGTACTAATTTAAATAAATGTTATAAATTTCAAACATTTTAATTAAAATGAGTTCCTACAACATAATCTAATTGCGTAGAAAATTAACATCTTTACTGTCACTTTGTATTATCTCTACGATAGAATCAATTGTTTTTCAATTTTAAATTTTTACTCATAGATCGTATTGGAGCATTATTTTCGATAAATAATAAATTAAATGGCACTTTTCCTAGAGGAACAACAGGGCGACACGTAGATGAAGCGCAGAAAGATGACATTATGGACGCCGTTACTGTGAACCCTACAATAAGCACTAGACAAAAGTCGAGAACTCAATGTTACTCAATCAAAAGTAAGTAGAGTCTTACAAAAAAATAATCTATACCCATATCACATTCAAATGGTTCAGCGACTACATGCTGGAGATGAGATCGATAGGTTGGAATTTTGTAGATGGATTAACAATAATCAACCAACGCCATACAGGACACTATTTACAGATGAAGCCCAATTTACCAGAGACGGGATAAATAATTCACGAAATTCACATGTGTGTGCTACACATGTGAATCCTCATGCTATTCGAGAACGTCGTTCTCAGTTAAGGTTTTTGGTTAACGTGTGGATTGGTGTCATAAGTAACCAATTAGTAGGTCCTCGCTTTTTTGATGGTCCTTTAACAGGGCCTATTTGAACTTTCTACAAAACATTTTGCCGAATTTGCTTGCCAACGCGAACGTTGCTATCCGAGGGATGTATTTTCAGCATGATGGGGCACCCCCACACTTTTTACTGGCAATGAGACAACATCTCAATAATGTTTATGGCAACAGGTGGATAGGACGTGCAGGTCCTATTTGGTGGCCTTCAAGATCCCCTGATTTCAATCCCGTTGATTACCATATTTGGGGACGATTGAAGCAACTAGTTTACACAGTGAATATTATTAACCGACAACAATTAATTGATAGAATTATACATTGTTGTAATACTATTAGAAACGATCCCCAGAGTATCCGTAATTCAATACGTCAATTAACAATTCGGCAACAAAAATTTGTACAGGCTGCAGGGTTCCATTTCGAAAATCTATTTTGAATTATTTTTATTTTGTTACCATTATTGTATCTTTTACAGTTCTAATTTATGGGTTTATCATAAATTAGAACATGTACATTAGAAACTAAAAATATGTACTATGTACATATTTTTAGTTTTTTTTTAATTGTTTTTCGTTATTGTTAGTAGTTACTGTTTTTTGTTGTGCAGTGACTCAGTTGATCATTTCAATTAAAATGTTTGAAATTTATAACATTTGTTTAAATTAATTACCTTATAATTTGATACTTCATTATGGTTGTTCTATTTTTGGTAAGATTTGATCGTTCACTAAAAATTTAATAAAAGTGCGACAACATTGTCGCATATGTCGTTTTCATTGGCTATTTATTTAGTTTAAAAATCACTTATTGCATTTAAAAAATATATATATACAGGGTGTAATATTTAATACGAATCCCCAAAATAATTTTTCCAAAGCCAGTCCTGGAATTTTTTAGTTTAGCTAATACCAGTCGAATGCTTGATAGTAGTGTACTGTATCATGCAAAAATTAAAAAAAATCAAATGAGCCGTATAAACACTACAGTAAAATGAAATAAATGGTCAATTACACAAATCACCCTGTTACTTAATAAAGAAGAGGAGTTGAGATTTTTAGTGGCCACATGATATGCTCCCTGAGGGACTCTACATATGGTAGAAGTATGTAAAGTTCTTCATGACTCACCCTGTATATATATATATATATATATATATATATATATATATATATATATATATATACAGGCCATATATTTGGCTAATTTAATATAACAAAGCAATAGCAGCTTTTTGCTAAAAGATTTATTCTTTTACACATTTCGCATAGCCCAGAGGTAGAAAACGATGTGATTATATCGTTTTCGTTCACGGCCGCCAAAGCAGGTGGCGCCTCTGCTCGCAAACCACTGCAGTGGTGAAGCTTTAGGAGACATTCGTTCTACTTTCCGAGTTTGAATTTATATCATCATAACACTTTATTGATACCGATTCGAATACGGGAAGTTCAACGAATTTGACCTCCTAGGCCATATATTTGACTAATTTAATACAACAAAGCGATAGCAGCTTTTTGCTAAAAGATTTATTCTTTTACACACACACACACACACACACACACACACACACACACATATATACATATATATATATATATATATATATATATAATATATATATATATATATATATATATATATATATATATTGTTATGATGTTTTGTTTCTGTATGAGCTATGAGTAAATTTGAATGATATATGTAAGTATAGGGTTTTTATCGCGGTTCTCAAAGAATTAGTTTGCAAGTACTTTTTTAAATTATCTTTATTATAACTATTATGAAACAAACCTATCTATCTAATATAAGCAATATCAATTTAAAACAATCTATCTAAAATTTGAAATTCTTACAATTATTAAATTATTAACAAAATTTGGTACCTTCTTTCACTGAACGCCTAAAGTTTTTCCAAAATTAAAGTAATTATCACCACTCGATATTTTTTTACTCAGCCTTGGTTATCCAACAATTTTAATATGTTTCTTCTTAATTATCTCCACTCGCCATATAAATATATAAATTTATATCCTTGTAATTTCCATATAATGTACTTTCAAATATACTGGATCTTGTGGTTGTATTAACGAATGCTTACTTCAATGAATTAACTTCAAACTGTGACTATATTACCGTAGTAATAATTAATCTCCAACTGTATTTAACTTAATAATTCATTTAACTTAATCAATGCCTTCTTCTAGCTAATAATCTCTTCATAACCTCATAAATTATTCTTAATTCTTCTTTGTAATTAATAATCACATGTAACAGACTTAATAATAATAATAATTAACTTAATAATCTTCTTGTAACTAAATTCTTGAATTATAACTTTACTGAATCACTTTACTAACTGACTTCTAACTGATAAAAAAATGATAACTAAACTAACTGATTGACTGATAACTGATAACTCATTATACTGATAACTGAACTCCTCCTCCAAATTACATGGCTTTTTATATATTTTTCATTGTTTCCAGAATAATCTAGCAATAAATAATGTTCGAATCATTCTATTTGTTCTATCTGAATATTCTGGAATGGTTTTTTTGTTTGTGATGTATTATGCATATAGTCCCTTTGACATTTCTAGAACTTTCTATTTACAATTTACTTGACTTTATGCTCTCCAGATCAGAACTACACTATTATATGTAACTTAAACATTTATATGAAATATATTTTTACTATTCTACATCCACAATTATATTCTAAATTAAGGTTCCAAAAATAAATAACTTTTTGACTTTGACACTACAGTGTATGTTTGGTTGCATATGCACATGGCTGACTCAAACATATCTAATATTAAACAAAATAAAAAAAAAACTTCTTAAACTTAATTCTTATGCTAAATTCTTAAAAGTACCCTCATATAATTATTTTTTAATAATATTTTCTAGTATATAACTTACAAATTATGTCTCTAACCACTATTTAAATAAATATATTAATTAACATTGTATATCTGGTTGTATATATTTCTATGTTAATTTATTGTATTTCTGTTCTCATTATAATATATATATATATATATATATATATATATATATATATATATATATATATATATATATATATATATATATATATATATATATATATATATATATATATATATATATATAATTATACAAAATTTGAGGTACACCTATTTTGGGATACGGAGATTCCATATTTGATATTTGCAATGCAATGTTGCCACATTTGCCTCTTCTTCTATATTATTAGTAACTTTGGTTTTTAAAATTCATCACCCCGTATATTCACTCATTATTGGAATCTCCTTTTCAATACGAGTTCAACGATATGTAACACTTATGATTTTATGTAGTCTGGAAGGTCTTAAATACATAAAACGGAAGTCTGGCAACGCCTAATTGTCTCAATAAATTTTTTAATGCTAACTATTTTTAACTACATTAAAACGTAAAAATTGATAGATTACAACATTTTTTAACACAATGGTTACTTTATCAAGTGTTCAAAATGTGCTCTATTTGTGAGTTGACAGTACCCTAATCGATGGTAGAATGCGTATACCACATTTTTCCATGATTGTCTAGAATTTATTCGAGACTCATCGATTTTTCATTGCCTTAGTTCTGCAAAATTTGCTGGTTTAGTTTTGTTAACTGAATTTTTTAAGTATCCCCAATAAAAATAATCTTCAGGATTGAAATCAGGTGAACGTGGAGACCATTCAATTCTACCTCGTCTATCGATCCATCGACCTGGAAATATCTCGTATAAATAACCCCGAGCATTTAACCTAAAATGAGCTGGTGCTCCATCTTGCCCATATCTAATTAAAATTGGCACCAAACAAGTTTATCAGTGTAGGTACAATTTCATTTCTAAGTAACATTTCGTAACTATCTGAAGTTAAATTTCCTTCGATTAGAAATGGCCTAATTAACTGAGTACCTAACTGGCTACTGCTATACCATACTGCTATACCTGGCCATACATTAATTTTTGTGGTCTTTGAGTTTGGTTTTCACACATCCAGTGTGAATTTACGTCACTTTAGTACCGTAAATTGTGTCCATTTACACTTCCACACGGTGTAAAGGTTGCTTCATCGGAAAAACATATTCTGTTAACGAAATTTTTATCCTTTTCCATTTTATCCATCATTACCTCAGTAAACTCTAATCTACGATCGAAGTCATCTTCACTTAATTCTTGCAATAAGTTAATTTTGTATCGTTTAAAAATATTTTTATGTAATAAACCTAAGACTGAAGAACGACCTACATCATGTACTTGTGCTACCCTGCGTGAGGATGTATGTGGATCTTCAACAAAACTTTGCATTATATCTAATTTTGTTGTCATTCATTACTCTTTTCGGTCTAACTGATCAGTATCTATCAGATACTGATCAAATTGTAAATTGCTTGTCATAATTTTACAAAATTTAGTGTAAATGTTCGGCGTTATTTAGAAGAGGAGAATTTCCCGGATGATGGATTGGGAGACGATGTAGAGCTGAATGGCCTCCACGTTCACCTGATTTCAATCCTAAAGATTATTTTTATTGGGATACTTGAAAAATTCAGTTTACAAAACTAAACCAGCAAGTCTTGCAGAACTAAGGCAACGAAATATCGATGAATCTCGAATAATTTCTAGACAATCATGGAAAAATGTGGTAGACGCATTCTACCATCGATTAGGGTACTGTCAACTCACATGAATCACATTTTGAACATTTGATAACGTAACCATTATATTAAAAAAATTGTAATCTATTAATTGTTACATTTTAATGTAGTTAAAAATAGTTAGTATTAAAAAATTTATTGAGACAATTAGGCGTTGCCAGACTTCCGTTTTATGTATTTAAGACCTTCCAGACTACATAAAATCATAAGTGTTACATATCGTTGAACTCGTATTGAAAAGGAGATTCCAATAATGACTGAATATACAGGGTGATGAATTTGAAAAACCAAAGTTACTATTAATCTAAGAGAAATGGCCAATATGGCAACATACTGGAGCTGAGGTAAGCACATTGCCTTTAAGTATTCTCAAAGAAATAGCCCCAACAGCACATATCCGTAAATCTAATATATCATTAGTATCGTATGGGGATTCAAAGTTCAAAATGAAAACTGTAGGTAGAGTTACATTAACTTGTGTTATTAAAAATAATAAAAAATATATATCTTTTATAGTTGTAGATACAAAAAATCAGGTTCCTTTGCTGGGGTTTAAGGAATGCATAGAATTAAATTTAGTCAAACGGGTAGATTCATTAGTAAGTTCTAAATTTAACAATTTAAATGATCTAGTAACAAAATATTCACATGTGTTTGAAGTTCTAGGAAAATTTACAACAAAACCCCATTTAACCTTGAGAAAAGATACCAAACCTCAAATAAGTACCATAAGACGCGTTCCATATGCTTTACTAAAACGTTTAAAAAATAAACTGCGTGATTTTGAAGCGCAACGAGTTATAACAAAGGTAGATAAACCAACAGAGTGGGTTCACCCACTTGTCATTATGGAAAAGCCAAATGGTGACTTATGGCTCTGTCTTGATCCAAAAGAACTTAATGGGGTCATCAAGAGAGAACACTTTTATTATAGAACAGAATTCCTTCTGTTGATAAAATTGTAACTCTACTTGGTAGAGGACAGTTCTTCACCATTTTAGACATGAAGAATGGTTATTGCCAAGTGGAGCTGGATGATAAAAGTGCAGATTTAATGACTTTCGGCACACCATTTGGTAGGCATTAATTTAATAGACTGGCTTTCGGGTCTAGGCTAACTCTAATCAGTTAGCTCTAGACTCCAGCACAGATCAAAGGTAATGTAAGTCAATAAAACCTCACCAACTACAGGGGGTCATGTAAGATGCCCCCATTTTCAGTTTTTAGTAATCTACAAATTAACAGTCTATTGCATTTACCTTCATAAACACCATGATGATTGTTTTTTAATACGGAGTTCCTTCCTATGTTTTCATGTGGCCATACAATGTTTTTTTGACAACTTTTTATTAAACTGTTGATGGAATGATTCAATTCCGATAAGATCTTCTTTGAAATAAAAATTTTAAGCTTTTAATAAACATTTTTTTATACCTTAATACACACGACCACCACGTGCTTTGTATTCAACGGGTATACTAGCTACTCCTGGATATCTCCACTTCATGGTTTGTTCCAGTTGCACTTTTAACATCTACTTTACATCGAGCAATTTGCGCAGTAGATGACACAACGCCGCTTAAACTGAGGGAATAAGAAATGCGCATAAACCATCTGACTAAGCAAGAAAAAATGCGCACCTGGATGAGTAAACCTCTGCATGGGCGACATCTCAATGAGATCAGCCAAGAATATGTCAGACAATACATCGTCAAACTATTGGTTGACATCACGAAAGATGTTTCCCGAAACTGAGGGTTTCCTACTTGCCATTCAGGATCAGGCAATTCCAACTAAAAATTACCTAAAATATATTGTTAAAGATCCTCAAGTCCAAAATGACAAATGCCGATATGGATTCCAAGCCCAAGAATCCATCCAACATCTTACCGGTGGCTGCCAGGCATTTGTCGGTACCGATTATAAAGAACGCCATGACTCAGTAGGAAAGACTATCCACCAAGAACTAGCTGACAAACTGGGACTTCTCCAAACCGACCGTCTTCCTTATTATCAATATGTCCCTGACAGAATGCTTGAAAATGACAACTACAAGCTATACTGGGACCGCACTGTGCTCACATACCAACCAGTGGCCCATAATAGACCGGCTCTCATACTAGTGAATAAAATTACCAGGCAAACAACACTTATTGATGTAAAAATCCACTAGGAAACTAAGTTCCTGTAGCTGGCTGTATATATCACAAAAATTTATTTCAAATCCTTTATAAAAGTTATATAATAAAATGCCCAAACGGGCTATCACAAATATATTACAAACTCATACTAGAGTTGTTATAAAGTATCACTAGAGTTGTTATCAACAGGTCCTCGAAGACACTTCGTCTCAGGACCATTTTACCTATGTAGGGTCATACGTCGCCATGTTACCAATTCCAACGGTAACTTAAATATCATAGTTTGTAACCACATATAATGTAAACCAACTGTAAATTTATATCATTTAAAGGGTTTTGACCCATATATTTTGGTGGCTCATAGCATGTATACCTCGTTTACACTGATGATGGATTTAACAATCCGAAAACGTTTTGTAATATATTTGTGATAGCCGGTTTGGGCATTTTATTATATACGTTTTATAAAGGATTTGAAATAAATTTTTACATATTGATGTGGCGATACCTAACACTAACAATTTGCGTGTTAAATACAACAAAAAGATCGTCAAGTATAGAGATCTGCAAATACAAATCAAGAGACAATGGAGAATGGAAACTACCCAGACAGTAACTATTGTTCTATCTACTACTGGTGTTATTCCCAAAAACCTCCTAGCGAACATAAAACAGCTGGGTCTAAATGAACATCTTTATAAGGCCATGCAGAAAGCTGTACTCCTCACGACGTCCAGATGTGTAAGAAAATTTCTGGGAGATACTCCAACATACCAAGTCACCTAGGGCTCGATAACACGGAAAGAGTCCCACCAGAGCTCAATCCTTTTGATACCGTAGGTATCTGGGATGAGTGAATTTTCCCCTTAGAGGGAGTGTGAGCCGTATGGCTAAATCTGGGATAATAATAATAATAATAATATAATAACAGATTACTAATTTAAGAACTTATTTTCAGGTGCAGGCGGAGACATCTACTCTTCATCGCGCGATATGTGCAGTAGATGATACAACACCGATCAAACTGAGGGAACAAGAAATGCGCATAGACCATCTTACTAAGAACGAAAAAATGCGCATCTGGATGGGTAAACCTTTACACGGGCGACATCCGAATGAGGTCAGTCAAGACTATGTCGACAATATAGTGTCGAACTATTGGCTGACATCAGGAAAGATCGAGCATCGAGATCGACATCAGGAAAGATGTTCCCTGAAACAGAAGGTTCATTACTCGCCATTCAGGATCAGGTTATACCAACCAAAAATTACCTAAAATATATCGTCAAAGACCCTCAGAAGTAGTAACCAGACGATACCTATTATTCTTTCTACGACTGGAGTCATTCCAAAGAACCTCCTAGAAAACATAAAAAAGCTGGGTCTAAATGAACATCTATATAAGGTCATGCAGAAAGCTGTGCTACTTTCGACGTCCAGATGCGTGCGAAAATTTTTAGGAGATACACCGACGTACCAAGTCACCTAGGACTCGATAACATGAAAAGAGTCCCAAAAGAGCTCAATCCTTTTGATACCGTAGGTATCTGGGATGAGTGAATTTTCCCCTTAGAGGGAGTGTGAGCCATATGGCTAAATCTGGATAATAATAATAATAATAATGGCTTCCACTCGAAACCACCTAGACCAGATGCTGAAAACTGTTGAAAATTTCTCAAATGATATTAGTATGCACTTCGGTCTTTGTTAATATTGTTAATAATATTAGATCGTCTAACTAGAAAAAACTTCCTTGTAATAAAATAATGACTGTGACTTATTGTTATTTTATTTCCATCAAAATTGACATTTATACTTGTCTAAACTACAAAACTTAACTCATTAACTTATTTACAACATAAGATGGTAAATTACGTAGATGCCTTCTTTATTCTGCTTTAACACCTTCCCTCATTGAGTAATTTTCCAACCCGATTTCAAAAAGTAATTTTTTTCATTCTATTTGAAAACAGCGGCTTCGTCAAAACATCCGCTAACTGATTTTCAGATGACACCTTTACTACTTCAAGTGATCCATCCAATACCATTTCTCTAACAAAAAATGTCTAATATGTATATGTTTAGTCCGGCGATGAAACTCGGGATTCTGCGTTAATCGTATGGCTGATTCATTGTCGACATGTAGTGTCGGAACCAAGCTAACGCCGGTTAATTCCGTAAATATTCTTTTTAACCAAACTATTTCTCGTGCAGCGTCACTTGCAGCTACTATTTCTGCCTCTGTTGTCGATATGGCTACTGATGTTTGTCTCTGACTAAACCAAGATACAGCTGCTCCAGCATAAAGACACAATACCCCAGATGTCGATCTTCCGGTTGTTATATCACCTCCATGATCAGCATCACTATAGCTTGTTAACTTAGGTTGTATATCTGGCTTTCGCATATAAGTTAAGCCATAATTTATTGTCCCATTCAAATAGCGGAATATTCTCTTAACTTTTACATAGTCGTTTGGACTTGTATTTTCTAATTTCCTGGATACAACACTAACAGCATAAGCTATATCTGGACGTGTACCCGTCATTAGGTACATAAGAGCACCCACAGCTTCGCGATATGGAAAACAAGTATTCGATTCTAT